TCCTTCACACTTTTCTGACGAGAAAAAAGGGAGCAAACAGACAGACGGTGGAGGAGCGACCAGACTTGAGTTCATTCATATCCTCTGACAGTTTCTCTCTCACGTTGACAGACACTTGCACTGAGGCGAGCAGACGAGACAATAAGGCAGCGGCTCAGACGAGCTGTTGAGTTCATCTCTCACAGTCAGTGGAAACTTTCACTTCAACAGTCAATGGTTTACACACCTTTAGAGGCCACAAATTATCGATTAATAATATTCCCCAAATAACAAAAAACACACACAGTGACATTGACAGCATTTGGGTGAAATTTCTGTTGTTTCAGACAAAAGTCTCCACAGAAACCACCAGAGAGGTGAGGGTCTTGATCAAAAAAAAAAAAAGATCTACAATAAACCAGTTCACCATTCGAAGCAGTTAGTATTTTGTCAAAGTAGTTAGTAGTATTCCAGCACAGGTAGTGAGGTAACGTCTTGTTTCACTGACTATGAAGCAACACTGACAAAGTGACGCACCAGTTGAGACATGATGAAATCATCCATGGCTACGAGTGAGTGAATGAGTCACATGACCAGGCTTCACATGACCTCACATTGGCTCTAATGAATGGGATCATGGGAGTTCCTCTGTAGAACTCATCATTTTTGTCTTCATTCAGCATGAGACGTAAGTGACGTCATCAAACCCTCCAGCTGTGACTGACCAGAAAATAAAACTACATTCACTACACTAACACTACATTCAATGGCATGGACGCATGAGGGACGGGGGTGGGGGTGGGGGGGATTACTGATGTATTCTACTAGCGTGTAGCAGACTGAACAAGGACTTCATTCCAAAAACAAAAAAATACCTTTGTCAACCATATGTCGTATTCTTTCAGACTTTGGCCACTGAATTATATCATTTTAAGATGTCAGTGTTCAACCAACGCAGAAACATATCATGTGTCGTCCAACAGCTCAGGAAGCTGGAGTGGATGAGCAGCTCAGAGGCAGCTCCAGGGACTGGTTAACAAAACAACCACACCATCAGTGTCCTCAGCCATGAACCACGGTTTGGGACACGTCTACAAACTAGTGCTGACATCACTAACAGTCACCTCCACACCTGACATGGGAACACTGGTTTAGTTATGACAATTGATGACATGCAGCTGACTTCCTCATGTCTTCTGCCATGTCTTGTCAGGTGGACGTGTCTCTCATGTGACAGACAGAGGACAGAGGACAGAAACCAGGAAGGTGACAGTTACCTGTACCGTGAATCTAGAAAGATAATTACATATACAGGGTGTGACTTAAACTGTTGAATTATTTCCATTTTTGAATAATAAAAAAAAGAAGACAATGTTGGTTCATTAAGTCTGAACAACTTGGTGACTTGGTGAGGTGTGGACTCCTCATCTGTCCACTAGGGGGTTAAGAGACATCAGTTTATTCAGAGTTGAGTCTGGTCTTCAGCTCTTTCATTAAATGGTTCCTGTTAGAACAGAACTAATCTGAGCGTCTGTCTGTCTCCTGTCTGTCTCCTGTCTGTCTCCTGTCTGTCTCCTGTCAACGTTCATTGTTGACCTGCTGACATAAACTACCATGAGGACAATGAGACACTGGAATGAAGAGGACAACACACCAGCTGAATACCAGCACCAAGAATCCCTACTTGAAATCGTATTCTTCCACTCAGTTGGACAGTCTGACTTTCTAACAGCAAACGAGTATGAGCGGTGATTCGTTTTTTTATATCTCTGTGGACACGTATCTACTTGGGCAGTTGGTTCAAAATTAGAGCAGGTTAAAAGTGAAAGGAGAATCGACTCTCACGTGAATATGAACGCGTTCACAACAGGAAGGTCTGGAAAGTTCACGCCCTTCACAGCCTGTGAACTTTCCTTCCTACCACGACTGAACGGGTCAGCTCTGCTGGTGAATGAAGTCACCGCAGTCTCAGGATTCTTCTGCTTTATCAACAGTGACTCCGCTTGCACAACCTGCACTGCCACTAAAACTGCACCTGCAGGGCAAAGTAAACTCTGTCTTCAGGTGTGCAAACATGTGTCAAACATGGTGGAAGAGTTTCAGCCTGGGTTTGTTTCAGAGGCAAAGTTTGCAGAGTGAACAAAACTGAAACAGGTCAATCTAAAATTTGAGTAGTCAAATTTACCCTGGGCTCAGTCGGCCGACATGGTCATGACGTGTGCTTCGGTTTCAAGGCGTTTGGTTACCAGTAATATAGGTCTGAAATCAACGACTACACCAGTAAAAACACCCTCTCTGGTGGAGAGAACTTTGTCTCTTGAATCTTCATACTGAGAATTAAAAAAACAGGTTTTGACCAACTACACAACAGCAATCAGCAGACAACAGGATGGCAGCTGGACGGAGGAATATGGATGTGAATGTTCAGGTCTAAATAAGAAGAGGAACTAAAAGTCTGAATGCCTTAGGATACACGTCAAAAATTTTCCTTCACCGTTACCTTTCCAGTAATCAGCCTCAGCTGTAACTGGTTCAGCAAATGCAGAATATACATTTGAAGCAGTTCCCCCGTCATAATCTCATGCCTGGTCTCTGGGTTGAAGCAGTTCCCCCGTCATAATCTCACGCCTGGTCTCTGGGCACGTTCACACATATGTCCTCACTTCACATGTCCTTACTGCTCCTGCAGAGACATTTACCTCAGTTGTTCTTGGAATCCCAAGGGATTCAACAATCTCCCGTTGTCTGAGCGACTGATCAGACGGCCAGGACTAAAAGTTATCAGGATAAAACCTGATCTAAGTTTCAAACACAACACGTCCAGAGAGGTTTCTGTAGAACACACAGATCAACATCAAAGTGTTTGTCTGTCAAATTAGAAACAATAAAAATACATGTAGGAACAACGTGAAGAAACGCTGCAAAAGGTTAGACAAAGAGCAACAGCTAACTGAGCTAGGCTAAGTGTTATTTTAGGTTAAAGTTAGGTAAAGTTATGGTTCAAAGAGAAAAAAGTAAACAACTGAGGATGTGAACTAAAATAAACTATTTACACTGTAAAAGATCAAATTACGTCAGTAAAAATAACCTAAACAGGGTTTTTTGTGACATCACTCAACCAAACCAATCAGGGGCTGAGCTGAGTTTTATGTGTAGGAACCTGAAAATGTCCCTGAAGGCCATTGAAGGAAGGAAAGTGAACTCCTTGTCAGTGTGACACAGCTCACCACTGCACACAACCAAATGTGACCTCTGTTTTTAACCCATCACCAAAGTGAACAGTGGCAGCTTTAAGAACCAGGGAGCAGTGAGTGGAGACGGAGCCATGACAGAGCACCTCAGTGGGAACTTGGCAGATGGTGGACTAGAACCTGGAACCTTCTGGACCCAAGTCCACTTACTGAACCACTGAGCCACAACTGCCCCCCTTTTTTTCCCAGTATACACACACGAATAGTCCAAAAGGACCAGAACCACAGATGGATCAGTTGAGTCAGTTTCAAACCTGTGTCATCCACAAATAAATCACAGTGAGACAGGAGACATTGACAGTGTCTAACTTGTACCACAGCTAAATATTAAACACTCATTATCAGTAGTCAATCATTGTGAGCTTCAATCTTAGTTTTCGGGGTTTGGAACCTTCAAATATGAACTACCTCAGAATGACTTTAAGGCTGTTGACACAGTGTTAACCTTTACAACTCCTACAGAATACAATAACTGTTAGACCTTTAGTTTCTTACACAAACGCCAGTCTTTCCTGCAACGACACATACCCTACTCCCACTTTTAACTGGAGGGTGTTCATTAATGTTAATGATTTTAACAGATTATCTTTTCATCTTTGACCTCAGCTACTGTATAAGAGGTTTGAGATGTCAAATATGGAAGGAAACACCTTCAGGAATAAAAGGAATTAGCTGAATCAACAAAGTGAACATCTGTAGCCTCCAGTGCCTCAAACACACACAGAGACACACACACAGACACACACACACACACACACACTGACCTCCTCCACCTGCCCACTCTCATGCAGCTTCCTCTGGTGACTGGACTCCAGAAAGTCCTCGTGGCTGAGCTGACCGTCGTCCTCCTGCTCTCCTCCCTCACAGCGAAACAACAGCGGTGCCATGCAACAGACATCGCTCTGACACAAGCCCGGCATTGGCCACACACACTGATGACCTCACTTCCTGAGGTGCCCCACCAAACCTCCAGCTCCTGCTGATCCAGCAAGTGTGTTCCTCAGATTGTGTTCTGATCAGTTCTTCTTCTTGTCTCTCAGGTTAAGCAGTGGTTGAGTCGAACTCTTCTCAGTGACCCTCCTCCCTCTCTCCCTGACTGAGTTCTGCTCAGTCCTGCCACCACTCTCCTTCCGCACCAACACTTCTTTCAAAAATACAAACTCCACTTCCTACCTCTCCAACTTCCTTTGTGGACAGACCACGCCCCCCAGGTGTGTCACAGGACACACCTCTTTACCCTGGCTGTGTGTGTGCGTGTGTATGTGTTACAGAAACACACACACAGCTGGAGCATGTCCACTCTGATCTGTTTTCATGTCACAACGAGTCCATTTCCTCCAGGCTAAATATAAAACATGAAGAACCTGTCAGACTGTTCACAAACACACACACACACGTTCTCTCTCTCTCTCTCTCTTCACATTTTTTTTCTTACAATTAAACGTTTCTTATTTTTGATTCACACTTTTTTACAGATTCCAAACTTTTAAACTTGAATCAATCACAGTTTATATATATACATATATATACAATATTATTGTTATTATTATTATTATTATTATTCAATCAATACACATTTGAACTCGTTTGTATTTTAACTTCTGGACCTCATTTTTGTCTTTTCTTATTCAGTGTTTTTATTCACATTTAAACGTGTCAGGAATTTTAGAAACACCGTAAAAAATACATTTCTTACTAAATACACATTTT